CTCAATAAGGTGGAGACATTAAAATTTAAGCTGCTAAAACAAAGTTAAAATTCTGAGAGGATAATTCCCTTAACTTGAAAATCAGGAAGTATACTGATGTATTGACGAAAACCAGCATAAAAACTGTCACATACTACAGTGTTTATTTATGGAGAACCTCCCTTTTTGCATTAGCACAGAAACTGGCAACCACACTGAGGTATAAACAGTATCTTTTGTGGACCTTGGGTTTGAAATGGGGGATTCTTAAGCAGGGTTTTCCAATCATGATCTGATGTTATTTTTTTGGAAATAATAGTAAGTGGCCAAGTATGTGCCATCGACTTGACTATAAATTTAGAGCATTCTTTTGTTGTGTATGCCTTCCTGGCTTCTCTATTATCAAGATGCCATCATACTTTAGAATAGTTGGAGGCTTTGTGATATGAATATATTATAGTTAGTTTCAAATAAAAATAGTAAAATAAAAAACAAAACTGTAAAACAAGAACAATCAAGGTAAATGATGTACCATAAACAACTTTGGATTTCATATTATTTAAGACTAAACTAGGAACCACAATTGTAGTTCAATTATGTGGAACCGCAAACAAAACTAAACATGAAGGTAAAAAGAATATTTGGTTTAAAAATCATATATAAAAAATGCAAGTCCCTGTGCTTTTACTGAGTGGGAATCTAACTCTGAAGCTGTCGCAAGGACAGCTTGCTATCACTTGATGCTATAGTACAGAGCAACTGAACCACTGGGTATTTGCAAAAGCATTAGCGGCACTAGAATTGAGTGTCTCACTTGTATTTCATAGGCGGATGTTGAACAATGAGAACATGTGGACACAGGGAGGTAAGCATCACACATTAGGGTGTGTTGCGGGGGCTAGAGGAGGCACAATGTGGGGAGAGGGTGGGAAGGGATAACGTGGGGAGAAATGCCACGTATAGGTGATGGAGGGATGGAGGCAGCAAACCACTTTGCCATGTATGTACCTATGCAACAATCCTGCATGATCTGCACATGTATCCCAGAACCTAAAGTACAACAACAAAAAAAAAGAAATAAAAGTTCTATTTCTCAAAAGACCTTTCAGATACCAATTCACAATGCTACTTTAAAAATCCCAAAGATAGTCTGTGATAAGAAACTTTTCACAATTTAGAAAAGTGCATTGAAAGTGCAAACAATTTTATCTGATTTTCTGAGTTGCTCTATGTGACAAAAAAGCAAAGTTATTTTTATAAATTAGGGTGGCACACAGCTTCTCAACCTTGAGTATATAACCACATCATTGTGATAGGATAATGGAATTTTTTCTTATATTTAACAAAATGTTGCATCCTCATATTATAATAGCTCACTCAGCCTACAGAGAAAACATTAAATGGACTGGAGAAACAATAATCGATTCCAGAAAGCAAATGTCATCTATTATCTTCACTGGGTAGCATTAGCTCTGCTCCCAGGGTGGAGCTGTTTGTACAGAGAAAGAGTGGACCTAGAAAATAGCCTGGCTCTTTAAAGATCTAAACCAAACTCTTGCAATTATACCCAGAAACAGATGGCTGGCCAGCTCTCTGTGTAGCTGCTTCACTGTTGAGAGAAGCAACTGGAGACCTCAGAAGAAATATGCTTTAGGATCAGTAGCCTATAGTCATGGGTAGGCTAGGAAAGTCTTAAGAGGGTTTCAAACGTGGTTTGTACTGAATAAAATTCTGAGCAGGAATTTCTGTTTGCAATATGGGGAGGAGCTTCATGCTTCTTGCCCTACAGAACATTCTGAATATTTTTTCCTGGTTTAAAACCAGCTCTCTTCTTGATTTTCCCATTTCTTTTAGTGGCAGTAAGACAATATAGTGGCTAAGAATGTAAATACTGACCACTTGGGTTAGAGTTTGACCTTAAGGAAGTTACCTAACCTCTTGGACATTCCGTTTATCAATGAAATGGAGTATATAATAATACTTCACAGAGCTGTGGTAAACATTAACTGACATAATCAATTTAAAAGGCTTAGCACAGAAATCTGGCATTTAGTGTATTCAACAAATGTTTAGTACTATTATTAAGAACACCACCATTTTCTCAGTCTGGAATTCCCATTCATTCAAACAAAATCATTTTTTCTAATGTTTCTCCTTCATATGATTTCTTCCAGCACCAGGCCTTGTAAAGAATGGCTCCTAAACTTCTTTGGAAGTTGACCTTTTGTTTTCAGTATCTGAATTATCAAAATAGTTCCCTATTTGTCACCAGGAATATAGAAGAGCATCCCCAATTGGTTTCCCAATATATTTGCTGTCAGATTAATCTTCCTAAATAAAGTGCTGCATGTGAAGTCATTGCAAACGTGCTACTGACTTAAACGTTCCTAGCAGTGTTGGCTGTGTGTGGACCTACTTTGATGGTTTGTAGAATTCTTATATCCTACTCCACAGCATAAGCCCAGTATTCTCACTACAAAAACTGAAGGACCCATGACAAGTATGTCATTGCTATTGTTATACTAATGATGTGCTTTGTAAGGGCAAGAGTATATCTGCTTTGTTCACCATTGTATTCCTATGCCAATCACACCACGAGGAACATAGTAGATCCTCAGTAAATATTTGATTAATGAATACATGAGTTAATGAGTGAAATGATATTATAGATACTCTTATTGCTTTAGCTTTGTGTGATTACAATTGTGGTAATTTCAGAAGATCATTCAAAGAAAGTTGACATCATTGCTTGGCATTCAATTACATGCCATGTTCCATTCAGACCAAGTTATGATAATTTAGTCATCATTTGGCATGTGAAAACAGGGAAGTCATTTATAAACTTGAATGGTATGCATTCAAATATTATTAACAATGTGAGCTAGAATCAGCGTAGCAGCCAGAGCCTCATTTTCCAAAGACAAGAAAGTGAGAGAAATTAAGTCTAGGAAAAAAGTTGTTGCTGGAAAGGAGAGAATACAAGAAAGATCCTAGCCAATGAGAACCACTTTTTTTTTAGCAGATGGAAATGTGTTCACTACTGATTTCGACCCTAGGAGCAAGTGGCAGCTTATATTTTGCAATTCCAAAAAACATTCAGGAACTATTTAACCTTCCTGGAATGGATACAAACAATGGCTGTTGCTGCTATTCTATGATCCTAACACAAGTATTCTTTATATATTGAGAAGGAAATTGTGGTATCTGCCAACTTGAGACTGTGCCTGCATCACATATACCCAACCGTAGTAAAGACCCCTTCCTAAAAGAGGATGCAGTGCTAACAAACATGAGATGGCCAAATTCTTCAAAATCCAAAAGAGAAGCTAGATGTCAATTTTTGTGACTATTCTTAGAAGTTTGACTTTTTCCAATAAGACCTACATTCAGGTACTGCAGGATTTTAAGCAGTTTTAGAATGTTAAGAATGGTTGAAGGATTAAAAAATAATAATGATGATTCTTATAAGCTTGAAACATGGGTAAGTTACAGAATAAAATAAAAATCTCAGGATAACAAAACATTTCACTCCCTATCCTTTTCACAATAATTTAAAATGTATTTCCTCTTTCATTATACCAAATAATCCTCAAAGCAGCAGTACACAAATGAAGAAACTGATGCCTCAGAAGATGAGGTGACTTGCTCAATATTATATGTCCAGCATTGTGTTCATCTGAAAAAAATGAAAATAAACCCTTCTCCATCTGCCTGACAACACTTCAGGGAAGATATACTAAGACAACATATTACTATCCACACAGAACCTTGCACTTGCTAAGTAAATGTGTAAAAGCAACCATTTGTTCAGCCATCTGTGTGGTGTGGATCACAGGGGCAGACTAGCCAGACCGTAGTGGAGATGTCAAAAAGTGATTGCAAACAGAAGGCAACTGTAAAGAGAAGCATTCTAGGAAGGTAAGAATTCCTCAGCTTACACTAATGGTTGCCTGATAAATATTAAATTATAATGGCCAATATTGAGCAATAATAAGTGAAAGAACATAGGATGCTAATACTTCTAAGCAAACTCAAATATCCCGCTTTTTAAGATTCTGGTCCTAAGTAAGGCACAGGCTCCCCACTGTTCCCCTCCATCCACTTTCCCATCTGTGGCCTATCCAAGAAAATGAATGCTGTCTTCACAAAGTTCCCACAGTGGAAACAGGTGACAGGCTTCTGAATCAAGGAAACATCAGTGGGAAAAAACTCCAGGCCGGGCGCGGTGGCTCAAGCCTGTAATCCCAGCACTTTGGGAGGCCGAGGCGGGTGGATCACGAGGTCAAGAGATCGAGACCATCCATGATCAACATGGGGAAACCCCGTCTCTACTAAAAATACAAAAATTAGCTGGGCATGGTGGCGCGTGCCTGTAATCCCAGCTGCTCAGGAGGCTGAGGCAGGAGAATTGCCTGAACCCAGGAGGCGGAGGTTGTGGTGAGCCGAGATCGCGCCATTGCACTCCAGCCTGGGTAACAAGAGCGAAACTTCGTCTCAAAAAAAAAAAAAAGAAAAAAGAAAAGAAAAGAAAAACTCCAAACTGGAATTTTTCAGATGGAGGAGTGGCGACTCTACATATTCAAGTCCCTTTGTTAGGTAGATGAGCAGAGGGCAAATTTTGTAGCAAAAGCTGTTTCTTTTGTTTGTTTGTTTGTTTTGTTGGATGTTGTTTTGGTAAATGCTACTACCTTCACACAACAGACCGGTCTTCTGCAAAGAGACTATAAACTCTCTACCACTGCTACCCCAGTCACCAACCTCCAAAGCCTGAATTTTAGTTGGTGAGGTTCTCTATCAGTATCACTAACCTGGAAAAACTGTGAAGAAATAGCTTGATTATACTGGCTGCACATGTAAATGTTCCAAGAATAATTTCTAACTCATCTCCTTTGAAGTTATTGTTTTTCCCCCATTAGATAGATCGGTATTAGCATCTGGCTAAATTTTATATCCTCCACCTTCCTGAACACATAAGTACTCACACACACACACACACACACACACACACGTTTGTTTTTTACCCTGCAGGTTTCGCAGCTGGTGGGTGAACAGAAACAGTCTCTGGGTTGAGACTTTACACTGGTTTCCCTGACCTGAAAGAGTGAAAAATCTAGATTATTTCAGGAATCCATTATAAATGTTCCACCCTTCTCTGTCTCATCATGTCTTATCTACAAAATGGGGTGTTGGGGAAGCAGGAGCCCTGTCTTTTTGATCTAACATTGCCTTATGTTGAGATATTAAAATCGCAAAACACAAGCAAGCAAATTTAAAACAATTTGTTGAGAGAATTAACCAAGTAACTATAAACAGGCTTCTAGGTGCTCTTAAATGGAAGATAGTATTATCAAGCTACAGAACCTTTGCAGAACAGTGCTTTTGAGGCCTGGGTGGGTCCAGAGCTGAGGAGGTTTGAGTTACTGCCAAGCTACAGTCCCAGGCCCTGCGGGGAGTCAGGTCCAAGATTGGAAAAACAGTCAGAGTCAGGGGCTATTGTGGCCTGGACCGAGGCAGAAAGACACGACACAGCAGGCTTCCTTCCTGTCCTGCTCTTATCTGAAGTTGCAGAGAGTGGGTGGGAGTATGCCTGAGGTGCAGGTGAGGCACGTTTAGCCTGAGCCGGCCAAGGGCTACGCTTCCCCTCCTCTTCCCCCAGTGGCAAATCCGTCCCATCCCACAAATCCCCAACTCGGGTACTTGGGCCCCTTTCGGGCCCCCTCTCGCTCCTTCCTTTAGGCACCTCCCTGGGCCCGCCCACGGTCTCCCACCCAGTTTGGGACTGCGTCATAAGTATCCCAGACCTCGGCTTGCGGCAGTGTTAGACTGAAGATAAAGTAAGTGCTGCTTGGGCTAGCGCGACCTCCTCTTGTAATCTGCAGCTTAAGACGCTGATTCCAGCAGTGCCCTGCTGCGCAGCCCGAAGATTCACTATGGTGAAAATCGCCTTCAATACCCCCACCGCGGTACAAAAGGAGGAGGCCCGGCAAGACGTGGAGGCCCTCCTGAGCCGCACCGTCAGAACTCAGATACTGACCGGCAAGGTAGCTGTCCCGGGGCGGGGTGGGGGAGGGGTGGGCGAAGGAAAAGGGCTGGTAGCAGAGGACAAAACGAAGCTTCCCCGGAGGGCCCCTGTTGCCCCTCTGGCTCTGTCTCTGGGGTTTACCCGGTCGCCTCGGTTCAGTCTCGTCGCGCCACCTTCTGCTTACCGCACCCTATGTCATTCTGCATCCCCACGTGTTGTGCAATGTTCCGTTTGTTCCAGCCCACACCACCTATCCTGGAGGGAGGTTAGAGAGAGTTTGAGGAGATGCCCTGGAACTCGTTGTCATTGTCTCGGGGAATGGGTAGGTGCCTGGGGATCAACGAGAGACTTGTCGCCCAGTCCCCACCCCAGGGGCGCACATACTCTCCCCAGGGACAGAGGGGGCACGGGCGTGAGCAAGATTAGGAGATTTAACATTTTATTTCTTTCTTCTTGGTGTGCATGAAGTTCTAAGACAATAAATCTTTCTATGATTTCCGAGTTTTCGTGGAGGTGGGTTGAGGAGCAAAGGGCACTTTTAACTCCAAGCAGTATGAGTTGAGGCAAGTGGTCTGCTTGAGCGCGAGAACATTTTCAGTTTCTGTCTGGGCATAGGTGGTGTTAAACATTAGGTAAAGGAACTGTCAAAATAGAGGTGGGTCTGGGTCTTAATGCCAGTTTCGGGTGTTCACTGTGCCCTTTTACTGCAAGAGCATTGTATGTTTTTTAGAGTGGTATTTCCTAAAGAAAACGCTCTTCTGTAAAAATAAATTTGGGGATACTTTTTATTATTTAAAAATTTTTTTCTTGTTGAACAATATCCCCTTCCCTCTATATAGAGATCTGAAGCAGGTCCAGTGTTGTAATTTAAACTACTAGATTTGCCAGGAACTGGGGAAACTCTCCCCCAAAATGTTACCCATTATTGACTTAGTCCTATTTCTATTTTTTTAAACACCTACTATGTTTTCAGGGTTTGTATACTAGTCCTCGTTTTCCTCAATATAATCTTAATTTTAAAGGGCAATAGTATTTTCTTCGTGTTCTGTGAAATCTGCAAGTGTTGGAGCTTGCAGATCTGTCCTAACTTGTCATGTTCTCTATGCAGTTTTAACTTTTGTGTTCAACGTGGAAACATAAAAAATCCTTTGAGTTAAATGGGAATCCATGTGGTAAAAGTTGATTGTGCACACAATTTGAAATGTTAATGTGCTTATCCAGAGTTTTATTATGGAAACTTTCAATATCAAACCCCACAATAAAACTAGCTTTTGTGTATTATATATTTTAGAGCTCAAAAGTATCACCCTCTTGCATTCTTAAGGTTTTGATTAAATGACAGAGGTCAAATATGTAATTGTTCTCCTGCTTGGTTTGTACGTAAAACATATTCAGAATTTTGGGGGGAGTCTAATTAGAGGCCAGTAGTTAAATATAGCCACACAGTAATCCTTCTTTTTTTTCCTGACGGCCAAGCACTTCATGACTTGTAGATAGATTCAGTTAATATGCAAGCAATACTTCTGCCAGGACTGTGGTGAGATGACGAATAAACAAAACTGAGCATTAGCACTTTGATTATACTTTGCTGTTAGATTTGGGGGAAAAACTTAACAGATCCTTACGTGGTCACTATAGGACACTGAAAATAACACCTGACATATTGTATTGTAATACATTGATCAGCTAGCCCATTAGAGGTTGAGCATGACAAATATAATGTCAGACATATTGTACAATGACTTCAAAAGAGTTCAAAGAGAAATTAGCTATGATAATTGATGGTTTACAATAAATGTAAATGAAAACCAAAATCCTTATTTCTAGCATGTACAGATATCTTACAAAATTGAAATTTTAATATTTAGGCATTGCTTAATAATAAACTTCCTGAATTATTGAAAGAATAAATGAAATTACAGTGCAAACTGTTCTTATGTCTCAGTAGCAAGAAAAAATAAATTTATTTCTCAGAATTTCAAATTAAGCTATATGTGACTTATGAGCAAGTTACTTCATCTTTCTGAAACTCATTTTAATCATCTAAAATAGATTTTTTAAGTCTCCAGTTCTAAATTATTGTACCGTAATTCCAAATCAAAATGTACAGTTCTATCTTTGTAGTGCTAATCTTAGTGTAGGTTTTTTTAATAAAAATAATTAAAAGTTTCTGAAAATTACTGGGACACAGAAAAGTCTTCTAGGTTTATAGAGTACTAATCAATGGAGGGTTTGAACTTAAATAAATTTAGCTAAGAATATGGGAATCTCAAATTTCTTTGACCTTCAAATAAATATATTTTTGGAAAAAAACATTTATCAAATGATTGTCCTTTCATCTTCTGCATTAACTTGAAATCCATGCATTTATTTTCACCAAATGAATTTAAGGCTAGTTAGCCCTGATAAACATTATAGTAGTTGTCCTAAAAAAGAGCTAATGACCTAAATAATTAAAACAATTCGATTTACACACACATTTGAATGATTTACCCTTTAATGATCAAGGCCAGGCCTAGAGTTGCTTACTTTATTTACTCAATCCTTGAATAATATTACTGCTTAGGATGTATTTTGTCATACAAAAATGGGACTGGAAAGATTGCAGTCCACTGCCCTGGGAAGGGCACAATCAGTTGCTTGTTTGCTTTGAATCTTCCTTGTTTCAATTCAGAAGCAAATTATTGATTTAGCAGAATATACAGTCACTGTAGCACAGATAACTTTCATGTCTAGCTATTGCAAATGCTACACTTAAAAATCGAATGTTTCACCCAAGACTTGGAAAATATTTTAATCATGCAATACACAGTTATAGAATATTTGATAGATATTAAGAAACTTTTCTCAATTAAATTAGGAACATTAAATTTATATCTCTCCCTTCAATATTTTAATTTCTAAAATATGGAGAAAATGGTATATACCTTATAGAACTCCTTTCTTTAAAACCTAATTTTAAGAAAACAGCTTTTTGAAAGGCAGTTAATAAATTAATCAAAGGATTCTAATTCTCTTTTAAGTTGACAGACTGATTTGAATAAAATAGCGAAGAGAAAGAACCATATTCCAGAAAGTTAATGATTATGTCTGTGTACTAGTTCAGAAAGTAATACCTACTTACGTTTATTGAGTATAGTTTTTAGAGATCAGCTCTACCACATTGTGCCTATGATTAACAGTACTATATTATGCACTTAAAAATGTGTTAAGCGTCAATGTCATGTTAAGTGTTCTTAGCACAATAAAAAGAATATGACATTGAATAAATAAATGGTAGTTTTAATTTGATTCTTGATGCATGTATTTTGAAATGATTTCATATCTATATTTGGGTTTAGAAATTCCAAATGGAAGGTTAATGTAATTGGAGACATTTTTTTCCATCAATTAGATTTGGAAATTGTCTTGAAATAAAGTTAGACTAAAATTAAAATGAGGTTAACATTTTAAAAAATATCTTGGGTTTCAAGGGAGGTAAATTGTACACAAATTCAACTACTTGTCTGAAAGTACAATCTGGTTTTGTTTTTGGTTTTGCTTTTTAATAAATAGGAGCTCCGAATTGCCACCCAGGAAATGAGGGCTCCTCTGGGAGATGTATGCTTACTCTCTTAGGCCTTTCATTCATCTTGGCAGGACTTATTGTTGGTGGAGCCTGCATTTACAAGTACTTCATGCCCAAGGTAATAATAATTATAATTACTGTACTTTGGATTATTACTTGCTAGACATTTAGCAGCAACTTAAAAAATTGTGTAGTGGTGATTGGAGTAAAGAAGATTTAAGGAAAGATTTCAAGTTCTTTCAGTTCATAAAATTTATTTGTCTTCATGATGATAGCTATAGTCAACAAGCCTCTGCTTGACACATAGTACAATGAGTTGATATGAGTGGGAAAAACCATTCAAATGTTGTGGTAATGAGTATTAGAAGGTTGTAATTTCCCCTTTTTGTCTTTTAGAGCACCATTTACCGTGGAGAGATGTGCTTCTTTGATTCTGAGGATCCTGCAAATTCCCTTCGTGGAGGAGAGCCTAACTTCCTGCCTGTGACTGAGGAGGCTGACATTCGTGAAGACGACAACATTGCAATCATTGATGTGCCTGTCCCCAGTTTCTCTGATAGTGACCCTGCAGCGATTATTCATGACTTTGAAAAGGTAGGTTTCTGATTCTTATAAGTGTTCCAGGATTTTCTCTCTCTCTCTTTTTTACTTCGTTGGTAGATATTAAATTTATTCATGAATGCACATGTTTTTGAGGCAAATCCTTTCCATTCTTTTGTTGATG